ATCAAGGCATTGTCTATGCACATGCTTACAACCAATTCGTCCATGTGTGGACTTGGTGAGTTTGGCAAATATGCAGGCCCGAACGTGATAGGATCCATCCTTCCTTTCTTTTGAGGGGGAGTGGAAATGGATCCCACATAGAGGCTTCACTTGAACCTTTTTCGTTCGGCGTTCGAGTCCCCTATTTCCCCGCCCCCAAATATAACCTTCACCTCCATTATGGGTTTTTTACCCGGGTTCCTCGAACCTTCTTGTTCATCTCTGGGAGGTTTATACACATCATTTCTTGGGTGAGCATCACGCTCAACATCCCGTTTCCAGCTGTTCGGTCTTTGAACCGACTTCAGAATGCCTGTAGCGTTCGGGTCTGTATTTACATATTTACCCAGATGACCCCTCTGGATCAATTTCTCAATCGCTATTTGTAGTGCCCGACAAGATTGGGTGGAGTGACCGTTCCTGTTGTGGTACTTGCAAAAAGCATTCTCATCAGCCCCCATATAATTTTTGGAGTCAGTCGGGGGGGATGTTGTCCCTCTCATTCTCATAGATGGTTGCAATAGGCAGGACCAAAGGGGTGAATCGCCCTGTTCTTGAAGGAGGAGCGTCCGCTGGGATAGGCCTCAGCCGATCGGCCAGTTTTATTGGGGTAGGGGGTGCAGCTACCTTATCCCTGATCATGATCTCTTCCTCCAGAGCCGCATGCTTCCTGGATCTTTCCAGTACTTCAGAATACATTGTGCCTGGATTCTTCTTTAGATCCTTATACAGTTCACCCGTTCGGAGAGCGTTAGTAAACAGAGTGATGGCTGTATCATCCGTCATGCTCCAGACTTTCAGGGTTCCGTCCCTCCATCTTTTCAGGAATTGGTTTAGGGTTTCCTTTGGACCCTGTCTGACACTGTTCAGGTAACTGAAATGCCGTTTTGGGGTGGCACTAGAGGCAATCTGGGCCATGAATAAAGATGATAATTCGGCAAAGCTGCCGATCGATTCGGGCTACAGGGTCCCGAACCACTCATGGGCAGGTCCCCTGAGCGTGCTGAAAAAAAAAGACGACAAATGGCCGCCTCTGATGCTCCCAATAGCATGAGCCCCCCTTGGTAACTCCTCAAGTGTCCGTGGAGGTCTCCCGCCCGTCATATATCTGACCGGTCGGCGGTTTGGCATCCCTATGGATCTCAGCCTGAATAATTTCCCGGGTGAAGGGGGAGGTGATCCCGACCCGCACCGGAGTAGATTGTAGAGGGATTCTGTTCATTTGCTCCCTCATTTCGTTCACCTGCCTCCTCATCTCGGCCATTTCTTCCTACTGGGCCGTTAGGGGAGGTGGTGGTGGAGTCCCCAAGTTGACAAACTCCCGATTTCCTTCTGACGGAGTCGTTCTCTGATTCTGACGACTCTGTCTGAATCGCGTACTGTCATGCTCTCTAGAACAAAAATGGCGACCAACCGGCGTATCTCCTCTGGCCCGGGACCTGGTCGGGGTGCGGTCACTAGGAGTCTGATGCCTGCCCCCAGTCGCCTGAGTCCTTCCGTGCTCTCCCCGATGGGCTCGTGAATGATTCGATGCCGTGGTTGTTTCTGCATCGGTGGTACCATCATCAAATGAAGGGGTTGTATATCTGGTTTCCCCCGTGTAGCTGGATCGTCTCCCATCCTGCTCATCCGCCAGGTATTGCATGACCTGAGCCGAATCCCGCATGGCGTGGGAGTTTCTTCTCAATGCTTCGGGGATGAAGAAATCCCCATCAAAGTGCGGGTAGGATCCCCGGCTGGATTGCCCTTGGGGGTCCGGCTTTCCCCGCGTCTTAGCTTTCTGAGGTTTCTCCGGTGTAATGAGAAGTGATTGTAACCATTTTGGAAGTAGTTTGGATTGAATAATTGATTGGTGTGAAACTTTTTGTTCTAGTTTCCAAAAGACGGCACCAGTGTTGAGGTTTAATCCCGCAGATCCGAAAGCCCAACACGAACTTTGGATATATTAGGAAAATGGGTCAAGAATCATTTCTAAAGAGAAAATATAAAATATGAATGATCAAAAACTCAAAAGCCCACTTGTATTGATTAATCTGGCGATTACACAGAAATCTCCTGATCGGTACGTCGGAGTATGGCTAATACAAGAACTACATAGATAAATCTATTCTAGGCTTCAGTATCAAAATGCTCTTTACAATGAAATTAATCCTTCTATTTATACTAATGGGGGGGTATGGGGTTCTTCATGTTGATCGGCTGCTTTATCTATCCACTTGGAAACTCATGATTCAACTTGTTGCCGCCATACTTTAGCAATAACTGCCCCCTGCCACTTGTTGGCTACCCGTTACCCGAACGAGTGGTGGACCCTGTTGGATTCATCATTGATTTGGCCCAAGTACGTTGTTTGCTCTGAACCCCGTTCGGTCCATATTTCTCCATGAGCCTGTTCATCTTCTGGATTATGGGTCCGTCTATCGGGCTGGATATCTTGGGCCTTGGATCCGGGTATTGGGCCTGCGGCCCAATATCCCAACAATACACAAATCAAGTTATATGTCTCCAAACAAAATATTTCTACCTAAGTAAACATGTCATTGGCTATCATATCATGTAATTACCAAAACTATCTATCAAAGTTTACAACATCCCACACAGTATACATTAGTGCACACACAATGTTTTGTAACAATGAATTTAAAATCGCATAAACTCATTGGTAGTCCTTAATTATGCCCCTCACTCATCTTTTTCTTCAATGGAGGTTCCTATCATTATTTTCATCGGATCTTGTGTTCTGCCTTGGTAGTAGACACAGTAATGTGAAAAGAATCAAGGTGTTGTCGCTTGTTGTCATTCCGTCTTCCTCACCAAACCGTAAAGAATCAACAAAAATTAGAATGTAGCAATGTACTATCACTTGGCTACTCGTGTAGCGTTTATCTAAAATTTTATGTATCAACGTTTTTCATATATTGAATCCAATTTATGGGGTTAAAAAGAACTTTTGATGTAATTTCTAAGAATGTAAATTCTAAGGGCACGAAAAATTAGCTTTAAAAAAACATCACTTCTAACTTTATCCTTTCCCATAGTCTCCCTTTTATCTCAATTAATTTATATTCATCTCAGCAATAAAGGAGCCAATTTGTAACTCTTTTGCTAAAAAAACTAATTTCACTAAGTTTTAACACTTTCAAAATAAAAACAGTAGATTTACAACAAAAAAGTTAAATAGTCAAACAACGACAATATATATTTTATTGGAAAAGTATAAAACAAATATAAAATCCATCAAACATGAGATAACATAAGCATAAATGTCATTGAAGGGGTAAAAAAATGGTAAAAGTCGAGAGCCTTTTATATGGTGTGTCAAAGGTGTACACATTTTATGTACACCTAACATTTTTGTTTTATTTTATCTCATTTAGAATATTTTTCCTTTGAAAATGGATCCAACTCATTCTTTACCTAGATTTTCCGGCCAACAATAAATAATTATAGTGGGTCGAATGTGTATTTTATATTCCTTTTTCAAATTATACTTCCTCCGTTCCATAAAAGTTGCAACATTGGAATTTCTGCACTATTCACACACCTTACTTTGACTACGATTTTCTAATAATATATATAATAAAAATATTATGTATAAAATATTAATAAATTTGTATTAATGTAAATTTCCAATATATTAACTTTTTTTAATGTTTACTAATACGTAAATAAATATAATTACAGTCAAAGTTGCGCGTTGGCAAACGTGAAAGTCAAACTGATGCAACTTTTATGGAACGGAGGATAGTATAAATTAATAATGGTGGAATATACCAAAAATATGAGGAGAGAATGCACAAATTTTAAGTGACCAAGATCACCGTAGTGGGGGGAAATGTGAGAAGTTAGAGTAGATTAAATTTTTGGTGGGAAATGATGTAGAAGAGAGAGGAAGGGGTCAAAAGCTATAAGATGAGACTTCTAAAGAATTACAAAAATATCAGATGTAGGTGTACATAATATTTAGGTTGAGACTTCTAAAGAATTACAAAAAATACCGGGTGAAGCGTATAATTTGCGGGTGGAGGGAGGTCAGTTTACTTTATTCATACAAAAATGATGTTTGTACCATCTCTATTATCCATTGTTATACCTACCCATGTTTGTGAAGGTTTTTATTTGTATGTGAGTTCCGTTCATAGACAGTACTTTGTTTATGCAAAATTTGGACAAACAAATACTACCTCCCTCTAATAATTTAGTTCCAAAATAAAGTGGCACACGGATTAAGAAAGTGAGAATTGTGTGGTGAAGAGTTGTGCAGAAGAGAGAGAAATGATGTGAACCACAAACTCTTTGCCAAAAAAGGAAAAGACTTTTTTTTGGGACGGATGAAAAAGGAAAGTTGGAAGTATTTTCAGGGACTGAGGGAGTAACACATATCCCAATTTTCAAGGTCATCGTTAGATTATTGCATGGTCTCATTTGCGCAGCCTTGCAAACCGATCGCTGTTCATTGCAATTAAGCTACCTAGAATCCTAGATATAGAGGGCGAAAGCTAGGGCGTCCTTTCTCCTTCCCCTTCAATATCTAAATATCGAGTATAGTGTATCATACCAAATTCAAGAGCAAAGAATTCCATTAGTAATACGGTTAAATGATTTTTGAAAGATAATTGCATTTTATATGTATATTCCAGCGCAGTTATCTTTCAAAAATAATTTGACGATATTCTCATTTGAATTTTTTGTTCAAACTTAATATGGATGAACTAGATTTGATAAAAAACATAAACAAAAAATTTCAGTAAAAAATATGACCCGAACCACCCTAAATTGAGGTGGGCAGACTCTTGTCCTGCTTGGCCGGATAAGAATAGGACTCTTTCTCTCTATATATATATATATACATATATATATACACACACACATATATATATATATATATATATATATATATATATATATATATATATATATATATATATATATATATATATATATATATATATATATTGTGCTCCTGGAGGAACCGAGTCTCTTCCCTGTTGCTGCCGCTGATTTTGTCCTTCCGGTAAGCGCATTTGATTTATATTGATGACCTTTATTTACTTGCGGATTTATATTAGTTAGGTATAGAGAGGTGTTGAATCATTTTTTTTGTTCAGTAGCTGTATAGTATCACTTGGATCATCTCCTCCGTCTTTATCTCAATGATCGATTTGCATTCTATCTGATCTATTTAATAATTATTTCCGATGAACACGCGCGTACTGGTAGCTAGTTTCTTGTATCATCTTCGATCTTTGTGTCGCAACCAATATTGATGAGTTGAATGTCTCGGCATTCTAGCTAGCTTGTTCGTTACTGATTCTGATCTTAAGCTATATAAGGAAAGGAAATCACGCATGCATATCTACCTTTTTGTTTCGAAAGAGATTTATTTCGGTTAGATATTGCAGATCGGGGAAGTTTGTGAATGGATAGTGACAAATTGAATTCAGGGATCGGAGTATGTAGTAAAAACGATATCAGATGGGTTTGCTCACTCAACGACTCTGAACTTGTAAGTATAGCTATCTAGTCTTTGCTGATATAATCAATCTTCCATCAATGGTGTTAAGTTGCCTTTTCAATTCATTGCCAGGATTTCGTAATTAGTTTGAAAGTGATGCTTCTGAGACGACCAAAACAAATGGCTTCCAACAATTTTGATTTTAAGTTTCTCCGCGCTCTCAGTATGCATTCAAACTCTTATTTATTTATTTTACAGTAATTTATTATGCATTTTTATTTTATCATTTCTCTTTTCCCGTATGTACAGGTTTTATTATAATGAATAAACTTAAAGGACATCTTGAAGTGATGCCAGCTGGTTCTATTGGGTCTTTGGATAATTGTAAATTGCTAAAGTTTGATAATGACACTAGTTTCAAAAACTTAAGCATTCAAGAGTTGGAGACGTATATTTGCACCGAAAAGAGGAAAAGACTGCTCTCCAAGTAAGTTAACTGTCTTTACTTCAAATTCAAGCCATGTGATCAAAACCTGACCGGGTCAGGGTCAGGGTCACCCCACTCCACGGCAAATAACCCTGCTCCATATTCTTCTCTTCAAAATAAAAATGCAAAATTTATATGAGTATTACTCCCTTAGTTCCGCTAAAAGGTTCTCGTGAACGGTTCACGATGCTTGACTGTAGATAAAGAAACTTAATTCATGTTCACAATCTGTTTATTTTTTTATTAAATAAAATTAACATATTCAGAAACTACATTAAAACCGCTACAAAGCCTGATAAAAAAAATGTAAATTTGGCAAAAAATTGATTTATAAAATAAAAGATTAAAAATGATTTAAGTTGAACATGAGAATAGTGTACGAGAACCTTCTAACGGGACGGAGGGAATAGTATACTTCACGTAATATTATATTTTCCCTCCTCGCTAAAATTGTTTCGTTTTACCTTTTCGGGAAATTCCACTTACATTGTCTCATCAAATTTGGTAAAATTTGCGTGACTCTACATCATTTTTACTTTATCAATTTAATATCAACCACACAAATCTATTTTTTTTAATAATCGTGCTACCTTCTTTTGTTCCAATCTTAGTGGGTCTATGGGACAGAGGTAGTATCATATTAAAACCTTGGGAGAGCATATGATTTTAAACTTTTCGATATATGGACTCTTGCTGTCCAAGTTTTTTTTTTTTTTTTTGAAATGATTGTGTGGATTTTGATTGAATTAGTTAACAAATTTGGTTCCAGGTTGTTGGAAGACATGCCTCCCGGCCAGAAGCCGAGAACCGCGAGCTATATGTAATGGAACTGATACACCCACCATGTTATTACTACGTATATCCAAAATGGTGAAAGTCATTACTGTGATTATACGCTTGTTTGGCAAACCACCTATTAAGGCTTTTTTGATGGCCGGATTGATCATGTCAAACGGCTTATGTATTCGGTGTACTATACTTCTATTGCTTAATGGACAAACTCTTAGAAAAATGATATTAAAATTGGGAGTTTAACCAGATAAAAATCTCGAGTTTAAACAAATCACCAGACCAACCGTCAAATGCAAGAATGAAAATAAATAAAAATGAATAAAGAGAAAAGATAAGAAAAACTTATCGCAGGATCGCCCGTTAAAACGGACTGGCCTTGAAGAAAGATAACCCCCGTATCTCGATAGCTATTCGGATGGGTCTGGCTAGCTCCCTCTCAGGATAATCTTACTCCGTTTCAGACTCATAGCTACCTTGACTGAAACCTTCGACCGTTGCCAAATTTTGCCGAATAAAAGAGATGACTTGAGCCACTTATGACAACTATGGTCTCAAACAAAGTATTTCCTTGGAAAAGAAAAGAAAGTTTACGGATGACTAAACTCAAACAAAAGAAGAGGATTGTTCATGTATTGGGTGTGAAGAGAGTTGTTGTTTGCTATGGTACGTGAGAATATTTTAGCCACATGCAAAAAGGTAACTTGCACCTCTTGTGATACTCCGTATAAATAACGTACGTAATATATTTGATAGAATTAAAGGAGCATGCGTTGGGGTGTTTCAACGGAAATCAAAAATCAGTTTTAAAACATGAGAAGTAAATGGCAAAACTGATCCATGTTTATGAATCCCATTAATAGCATTAAGGATAATTATTTTGAATTTGAATTCAATTTATAATCCTATCAGCTATTACATTATATTGTTCACACAATTAGAGAGTCTCTAGAATCTCAACATCAATTCCATCACTTATAATATGTCCGGTCAGACGCACATACAAGTGAAAATTAAAATGTCACCTCACCTTATATGATACTTGAACAATGTTCCTTATCATATAATGATTATAAATAATCATACGAGACGATTCAGCCTCTAATATGAAACAAATAAAATCATTGATTTAATACATCACTTTACAATCTTTACAACTATGGATTCAAATTTTAAATCCAAATATGTTAGTTATTCTTTGATGTATTATCAGCCACCTCTCCATATTTAATACAATTATATCTTAGGACACAATAATGTGACTCTAAAAATAATGTTTATATCATCATATTTCCAACAATCCCCCACAAATTCATAGTTGTAGACTCAACTCTAAGACATAATGTGCTTTCAAATATGGTACCTTCCGGTTTGAACAAAATTCTAAGCTCTTACCCCTAACCCCCCACAGGAAATGAGTGAACAGAGTTCTTGAACTCGAACTTTGATTGTGTTGGTGTGGGATAAAAGCAACACACTAACGGCAATGGCAATGATCTATAGGGGTGACGCTTTTACGGCCATGCGTCCTGATCCTGTCTCAAGAATGTCATCGAGAATTAACCCTTATTCTCTTATTGCGGCCACACAATAACATTCTCATAGTTGGGCATCTCCAAGAGTGCATTGCTAACACTCTGCTATTAAAGCTTCATCCCATTCAGAGTTTTAAACTCTTACTAACTTAGCAACTTCAACATCTCTAAGGCTTATCAAGGAATAGAACTCATAAAACATATATTAATGAGATGCACAATTCACTCTATGGTTTATTTATACCACATTGAACCTACTTTATGGGATCTCCACTCAGATAAGTTGGGTTGCCACCGTAGATGAATAATAATTGGGTTTCAGTCCCATTCCTAACCTTGATTTTATCATTTGATTTAAATCAAGTCCTTTTGTTAAAGGGTCTGTCGTATTATCTTTGGATCAAACAAAATCAACAGCAAACACTTTTTGAGACACAAATTCCCTTATAGTTTTTAATCTAACTTGAATGTGTCTCCTAGTCTTTTGATTATACTTGGTACTCCTAATTTTTGCAATTGTACTCATACTATCACAATGCAGACAAATAGGTGGAATTGGCTTGCTGAATATAGGTAACTCGGACATTAGTCCCATAAACCATTCAGCCATAATTCCTGTAGTATCCAACACACATAATTCAGCCTCAAAAGTAGACCGAGAAAGTACAGTTTGTTTAGTGGACTTCCAGGCAACAGCCCCACCACCAAATGTAAACACATAGCCAGTACACCCATAACTCCCGGAGTTCTTAGCTATCCAGCTTGCATCACTATATCCTTCAAGAACAGGAGGATATTTACCATAATGCAAACACAAGGAAATAGTTCCTTTCAAGTATCTAAATACTCTATTTAAGGCCTCCCAATGAGTTCTGTTTGGACAACAAGTGTACGGACTCAGTTTAGACACTGAAAATGCAATATCAGGTCTAGTACAGTTAGCTAAGTAACCCAAGCTACCAATCATCTGGGAATATCGTAATTGAGACACAGGAACACCACTTTCATTTTTATACAAAGCTACTGAAGGATCATAGGGTGTTTTAGCAATTCTACTATTTTTAAATCCAAATTTCTCAATAAATTTTTCAATATAATGTGACTGAGAAATAGAAATGCCTTCAGTTGATCTAGTCAACTTTTGCCCAAGAATTACTTCAGCCACCCCCATATCCTTCATTTCAAACTTAGTTTTCAAAAATGACTTAGTCTCAAAAATAATATTATCATTAGTGCCAAATAATAATATATCATCAACATATAGGCATAAAATAATGCTTATATCACCTTTACATTTATAATAAACGCTTTGATCAGCATGTATAAGAGTAAATCCAAACGAAAAAATTATTTTATCAAATTTTTCGTTCCATTGCTTAGGGGCTTGCTTAAGTCCGTATAAGGACTTAACTAATTTACAAACTTTTCTCTCATTGCCTTTTGCCACAAATCCCTCAGACTGATCCATATAAATTTCTTCTTCAAGGTCACCATGAAGAAAAGCTGTCTTAACATCCATTTGATGAATTTTAAGAGCGTATACGGAGGCCAATGCTATGAGCATTCTTATCGTGGTCATTCTTGCAACAGGAGCATATGTATCGAAAAAATCAATACCTTCTTTTTGTTTATAACCCTTAGCAACTAATCTGGCCTTATATTTATCAATGGTTCCATCTGGTTTTAACTTCTTTTTAAAAATCCATTTACATCCAATAGTGGTACAACCAGGAGGAAGGTCAACGAGCTCCCATGTTCCGTTTTGAACAATAGAGTCCATTTCACTTTTAATGGCATCCTTCCAATAAATGGCCTCGGATGTGGCCATTGCATCTCTAAAGGAAATTGGATCACCCTCAATATTGTAAGTAATAAAATCACTTCCAAAATCCTTAGTGATCCTAGCTCGTTTGCTCCTTCTTGGCTCATCTAGATCATTTGATTCAAAATCAATATGACTAGAATTACTAGATTCTACCCCCACATTTGTCATCTTTTCCACTTGATCAGGAATTGAATTAAATGTGGTTTCTTGATTTTTAAAAGAAGTATTTTGGGGCACACTTGTTTTCATTGGAAAAACATCTTCAAAGAAAGTAGCATCACGAAGTTCTACAATAGTATTGACATCTATGCCAGAAATTTCAGATTTAATAACCAAAAATCTCAATGCATAAGAATGTTCAACATAACCAATAAAAATAGCATCAACAGTTTTAGGCCCAAGTTTCTTTCTTTTGTGTTCAGGGACTAAAACTTTTGCAAGACAGCCCCACACTTTAAAATATTTCAAACTTGGTTTTCGGCCCGTCAAGAGTTCAAATGGACACTTATCTTTATGTTTCATGGGAATTCTATTCAGAATATGGCATGCAGTATTCAAGGCTTCCCCTCACATAAACTTAGGTAATCCAGAATTCTCTAATAAACTGTTAATCATGTCTTTAAAAGTTCTATTTTTCCGTTCAGCTACTCCATTTGATTGTGGTGAATAAGGAGGTGTTTCTTCATGTACTATACCATATTTTTGGCATTCTAGTACAACTAAATTAGAAGTATATTCTCCTCCCCTATCAGATCTTAACCTTTTAATTTTCTTGCCAGTTTGATTCTCTATTTCATTCTTAAAAATTAAGAATTTTTCAAGAGCTTCATCTTTACCCTTAAGTAGATACACATAGCAATATTTAGAATAATCATCAATAAAAGTGATAAAGTATTTCTTTTGGTCACGAGTAAGCACTCCATTAAACTCACAAATGTCGGTATGAATTAAATCAAGTAATTCTGAATTTCTATCAATTGAATGATAAGGTTTTCTTACTTGTTTAGTTGTAGCACATACCATACATTTCTTAGTTTTATCAATAGAGTGTTTAGGGATTAAATTTAAATTCATCATTCTTTTTACAGAATCTAAATTAACGTGACCCAAACGACAATGCCATAAACAAGAAGAATCACAATTCTCAGATATATAATTTAATTCCAAATAATCAACCACAATCTTAAAAAGTCCATCTGACAAGAAACCCTTGCCAATAAAAAGTCCACCAAATAAAATTACAACTTTATTTAATTTAAAAGACAATTCATAACCCTCCCTAACTAGAATGGAACCACTAACAATGTTCCTTCTAATTTCGGGAACGTGATGCACTCTATGCAAAGTAAGAATTTTTCCCGAAGGGAATTTTATTTCTACTTTTCCAACTCCATGCACCCTAGCAGCACTTGTGTTTCCCATCATCACTGTTCTTCCAACAGCAGGCTGATAAGAAACAAAGAGCGATTTATCAGCACATACATGCACATTCGATCCTGTATCTATTAGCCACTCATTGGAATTATAAATAGTGAAAACTTGAGGGTTAAAAGAAACATACCCATCGGAACTAGTTCCTCCAGTCACCATGTTGACTTGAGGTCCACCAGATTGAGCCTTAGCCTTTTTATTTGGGCACAATTTGGCCCAATGCCCCATCTGTCCACAGTTCCAGCATGGACGGTTTGCTTTTGGTTTCTTTGCAATTTTTAATTTGGCCTTTATTGGTTTAAAAGATGATGGTTGCTTATTTTTAGAATTATGTGCTTGCTTCCCCCAGTTATAACATGAGCCTTCGGTTGAAATTCAACAGGCGCAATATAACCCGCTTTCTTATGTTCCTCCTCAACAGTAATGGAATGC